AACTTTAATATAAGCTTAACATGACAGCAAATGTACAACGTTTCGACAAGGTTTTGTCATCATCATATTAGCATACTTCTCATTTCTTATGACTTTGTTTTTCTTTTTTGTAGTAAAAAATGGTATTTTACTCTCACATACGTGTTTACATATTGTCTTAACGTGCGTTGCAAAAAACCTAATTCAGATGCTTTTACCCCCTCCCATGGCTTTTACTGCTTAAGTTTTGGATTCGATCCCCGTGGTGAATACAGCTCAGATAGCCCATTATCCAGCTTATCATCAAACAAAACAGATGTTTTTGCTTACTATGCAAAGCGACATAAAATATGTCATAAAATTTGTTTTATTGTTATTTAATTATTTTTTTAAAAGATTCAGGGTGAACGTTGTTTTACGTAAGAATTTACTAGCATAGAAAATAACCTCTATATACAATTACTAATAATAAGAAGTAATTTTAATTTCTTTTTATATAAAATTATGATCGTTGTTTTTTATTTTTTCAAGGAAATCTTAGCTTCCAAAATACGATAGCTATCTGACTTATTTTAATGCTAATTATATTGTACCATTGGTTCTTCTGCAATAGCCGTTTGCACACGTCTCACTTATTTGTTACTTAGTGATGTCTCGGTTGTACGTGGCTCCTAACCCAAAAATCCAAAGTTCGCTGAACTCGTTCCGCACTTTTAACTGTGGGCATATTATAAGACTGACAGTCAATCCCACTATTTCATAAAGATTGGCCTTGTCTGCGGTAGGTGCCGCTGACCGGTTACTCTCCCTCTGGTTAGAAGTTCTAAATTAGAAACAGTTATGCCTGAATCTTGGGATCTTTGTTTTGACCTTTTACCCTGTCTGTGTCGCATAGCATACCATTCCTTATGAATGTCTAAGCAGTCAATTTCAAGGAAAACATCAAGTTATTGCTTCTATTGTACAGAAAGTTAATTACACTATATTTGAATAAGATGAATATGCTAATGCAGTAAAGCGTTGTCATAGATTGGGGCACGGTATCTCAGGCGACGCTTAACACCTAAGTATAATTTAGCATACCTCCACCAATAGACTTATATTTCAAAAGCAGTTTTCATATGGCGTGATTGCTAAATGATGCAGAGCCAAGAAATGCAACATTTCAAAGAAAAAAACCTTCAGTGTTCTTTACTGAAACCGAGAAGGTCGCACAGCAAATTCTTTAAGGCAGCAGCGGGCTCCGAAACCACAATCCAAACCAATTCGGAGCAATAGTCTCATCCGCAAAATAAAGTTTCTGATTCATTGAGATGAATTTATACATATCTCCTCTTACCATTAACTACGTAATGAACGAGAATTTGAAGTTGGCGAAGGCCCGCAAGCTAAAAGTTCAAAAATTCCAGACAAAGAAATTGGAATAACAGCAATCCAATTTTACCACATATATACGCCGTCAATTCCAATGGACTTTTGTGCCTTTTGGCTGTTTAAGCGACTGGTGATGGAGGAAGTAATTATATGAACACAAAGGTCCTGGAACATGGTTTTTATAAAATGCGATTAGCCTAAGTGGTACTCGATTTATTGTTTTAGGTGACTTAGAATGCAGCAGATATGCACCACACTCTTTAGAATGAATTAGAAATGAGTTATTATATTACTATTATTATCATAAAGTTTGAAAAGTTTTACACTTAAGTGTGTATTTAGACATTCTTTCGTGTGTACTTAGACATTTTTTCAACACGTATTTTAGTATTCAAAGTTTAAAAGGAGAAAAGTAAGTATTAGAAAATGTTTATGAATGTGAAAAAAATATACAAAGAAACGACATCATCTTTGAATAAAGTAAAATTATGTGATCGTCAGTTTTATTTCTAATTTTGGCATTAAAAAAACCTATCCAAATTACAATAGAAAATAAAACGGTGAACTATACGTTGTATACACCTGTTCATTAGTTATGTTGTATTTGTCGCCAAGTAACATTTTTCTACTCTTTTTCTGAGTTCTATGAAACCTTTTTCAATTTGATATTTTGAACTTGTTATTTTTCAAAGTAATTTGTGAATTTGATAACTATGTGCTTTTTTGGTACAATGTTGCAGAATTTGTAATAGAGAACATGAGAAAACTGTGCATACTTTTATTAATGATTGAATATGAATTATTCAGAACAGTTTAAGAATACTGTACACAATAAAAATATTATTTTTCTCAAAAGAGAACAAAGCATAATGATACTTTTAGTATTTCTTCTGTCGATAGCTCACAAATTTACCGATAAGATGGTTTAAGTCAAAAACTAAAACAAAAATTATAGATGAAAAATGTTTGGAACAAATTCCAGTGGGCCTTATGTTTCGAAGAATAGTTTCCAAAAAAAATGCATATCATATAACTGGAAAAAAAGTCGTATCATTATATCATATATTTTCTTCACTGGTCCTTTTAACACCTTTTATATTATTTTAAACGGAACATTTTTCTTGGTTTCGAATTAACTGTTCTTTTAACGAGGCATTTCTCTTACGGATGAAATAACCTGACTTTTACGGTTGTTTCTGACAGGTAGTGAGAGGATTGGGTTATCTTGGTTTATGTCATTTTTTAAGATTTAAGCCGTTTTTTTTTGTGTGTGTTTGTTTTTAGAAAACATGTGATGAATGAACAAACCGGTGCTCTAACTTATATGTAAGCTTTTTCTCATCAACTACAGATAACTTTTATATCTAGACACAAGTTTAGATGTAGAAAGGAAGAGCTAGGATGAACAGCAAACAACATGTGTTAAACTAGCATTTGTTATATAGGTCTTCATAAGAAATACTATTTGGACAAAAGATGTTAGATGCTCATTTTAATCTTTAAGCTGTTTGTGGATTCACGGAAAAAACACCCATAAAGAATTAAGGTAGATTTAGTTCGAGTGGATACATATTAAGTCACTATGATGGCCTAACTTAAGTTGTTGTTGTTGTTTTCATTTTTGTATGGCAAAGCTATAGCGTTGATTTGAATTCCGTTAATTAAGAACATATTTATAAACTAAGGTTTTTGTGTTTTATTTCTCGGAACGATATTCATATGGCATCTTTCGTAACGAAGATTCGTGGATTCGAATACACTTTTGTATTGCATTTACTTTTTATGAACAAGAAATGCATTTTATTTTACAATAAAATCTATTTCACTGGTAGAACATTCTCATAGTATTTTATATAACAAGTTACTGTATGGACCTTTTAGAAAGTTATGCTATACTCCCTCATAACAATATGTTCTTTGTAGAGCCTCCAACTTTTGACGTCAAGTTCAGATCTCATTCTGCACAAAAGGGCCAGTCAGTCGATCTTTCCTGTGCAGCAGTAGGAGACCAGCCAATAAAATTTATTTGGAAGAAAGACGGTCGTATGTTAACCAACAGCTCGAGATATCTGTAAGAGATTATATGAACATATAAAAATATATATATTATGGTATGACTAAATGGTTTGCTGTTTTAACGACTAAGGTGAGGATTTCTTTTGTAATAAGCTTTTTACAAGTTTTGGAAAACCAATTTGGAGTTGTCATTCTTCGTGATTTTGTGATATTTCAGAATTATTTGAACACAAAGAGGCGAGCCAATAAATCATCTTATTTCAATTTTGAGCTTTATTAATTTTGGAAGATAAAATTCATAACAAAGGTTTTAAAGCAAAAACTGAAAACAAGAGATCACTCAAAAATATAATTTCAATATAGGTAGAAGCCCGATAACAAGAGTGTTTTAAAAAGATAGTTCTTCCTGCTGGAGGAACGAACAGGAAAAAGAAATAATAGCAGAAAAGGCAAAGCGAACTTAATAACAAATTATAGAAATTGGCCATTTCTGCATATTACCTTAAAAAACGATCATTTATCAAATCCAGTTCTCTTAAAAATATTAAGCTTCTGAATAACGATATATTCATGCCGTATAAAGTATAGCTAGTATTTGTTGAATGTTTTAAAATGGAAATATTTTCTGTCGCACGAGTATGTAGTTTTCTTGTGTACCAAGACACAAATAAGAGTTTCTCACAAGAATTAGCTCTGCTTTCAATAACCAATAGCTAGTCTTGCAGTACTTCTCGGCAATATATAAATCGTCTTTTTTTTCTGTAGAAACCTAAATACAGAACTTTCATGAAAATTTATTTCCAATTTTCTTAACTTAATGATAAATAACCACCATGTTCCTTTAAGAAGATCAAACAAGTGATAGTTTCGAAAAACGTGATTCTAAATTTAATCAAAATAAAGAATGGCCTGAGAGTACCTCGCTGATATCATTAGCATCATAAACATTTAGTCTTTTTTTCAACACTACCCATTCTCAATCTTTTATGTACTAATATTAGATATAACGTGGGAATATGTGATCGATATAATCACCTGTTGATCAATATATTACTTTCAAAAACAATAACGCTCTAGATCTTTCGACAGCTGGACCTTTGCCCCTAGTGAAGACGGGTCCAACATTCAAAAATGTTATGGCTTTACTGGATTTTTAATGGAATTTATCAACTTCTTTCTTGCGTGCTTTTTCTGCCTCATGTTGATAACAGGATATTATTACATTTTCGTTATTTAACTGCTCTGAGTATAGTTTCTTACCCGTATTTGTTTGTTCATTGTTGTTTTTTCGAATTTTCGCGTAAAACTACGCGAAGTCTTTCTGGCATAGCAATACCTAATATTGAACTGACAGACTAAAGAGTAAACCGAATAGTAGGATTTGTACATTATACTCATAGTTTCTATAGCAGCCCAGGGGTTGGCAATGGGTGCTCTTCCCTCTAGTATATCAGCTCAATGTTATAAATGGTTATGCGAAGACAGCCCTTGTGTAGCTTTGCATGAAAATTGAAAAACAACAAGGAAAATAATAGAGGGAAGATAACCACAGTGTGAATACGTGATATAACACATACCTGTTCGAGGTCTCGTTAATGAATGTGGGGAAAAAAATTATAATAATTAAAAGCTGATAAGTTTACCAATTTCACCTTTTGTACGAATTCTGTATGTTATTAATGTAGTTTGACGATTCCAAATAAAGTATTTTCGGTTTCATATGAAATATTTCAAGTATAAACAAATGACTTCTTTTTTATTTTGAGTAGGTTAGTTAATTTCAAGTTCTGTTGGGAATTTATCCTACTAAATCCACCCTTAAATACCTCATTACAAAATATCAATAATGTATTTTAAAATCAAATGTTTTCAGCATTCTCCAACTAACTTATTACCAGAAATAAATATTTTAAATCATAAACAGTTGTTTAATGTCAACTATATTCTTCGTGTTTTTTTTTATTGCCTTGCAATGTGCTGTTAAAACCTTTTTTACCGAGTTCCCTTGTTAATAACTTCGCTATTATTAGTTTAATATCTTCAAAATAAATATTTCCATTTCAGTTCAACGATATATATATATATATTTGTGTATGCGTATAAAGATGAAATACAAAATGCTATATTACCAGATAACATCTAAGTACGCTATACTTCTCCTGAACAAATTTTTGAAACATCTCTGTTTTATATTAATTGAAATAAGAATCAATAAGCAACCATTCTTTACTGTAGTAATATTTATTTATTTTTGAATTTTGTACTAAGATATCATATAGTAGGTCCCTATTATGCCTGACTTATATGCGTTTGCTTCATTGTTTTGCCGCTAGGTGACTCAAAAAATAATGAATTTAATCATTTCTTTCTGATTGTTTTGAAACCAGCCATGCAAAAATAAACTGATCAAAATATCAAAATCAAATAAACACACACATCAAATTGCATACCGAGCTAAGTTTCTGATTAAAGAACAAAAAAAAAGTGTTGTTTTTTTTTCAAAAATCGTGTAGAAACAAATGTTGCTGCGATGTGTCCTGGTATAAAGTAATGAAATTTAAAAGAATACTCATATTTTAAAGATGTATGTTCCATTAAGTATATCATCAGTTTATATACATTATTTAATAAGTTAAATATTGAAGATATAAGTAAGATGAAAATGAAATAATATATAACTTGCAACTTTACGAAATACATAAGTGCACTAAAAGATAAAAATCTCTATAAAGTGATTTCTTCTAAATATTTTAGACTCTCTGCTTCAGAACTACAGCAATCGACTGAAGTTTCTATACTAAAGATCATGAAAGCTAACAGAAATGACTCGGGGATTTATTTATGTCGCTCTCACAATGAATATGGACAAGATGAGATGAAAATCAAACTATTGATCCAAGGTAGTCATATTCAACATCATTTTTAGCTTATTAGTTACTAATGATATATTGTGTAGTTTATTGCTATGTTCTTCATAAATGATAAGAATAACTTATATGGCATAACTAAATATCGTGACTTAATGTAATATAACACTTAACAGTGAATAAAGCATCGTTATCACCTATTTCTTCGGTAGGTCACGTTTGTCTGTGTGCGTGTGTCACGTGAACGCAATAAGATCTAACAGCCATGTTTTTGAGATTACTCATATTTTACAGCCTCCCAGTGGTACAGGGGTATGTCTACGGACTTACAACGGTAGAATCTGAGTTTCGATACCCGTGGTGGGCAGAGCACAGATAGCCCATTGTGTAGCTTTGTGTTAATTACAAACAAACAAACATATTTTATATGGTGCTAAGCTATGGTGATTGTTACAATGATTCTCGCAAAAATTGTTTTTACTCTGATAGATAAAAACTCGATCGTTTTTGTTTATTTCGCGTTTATTTTACGTATACATCCCTAGTGTATTTAACTTTAACAAGAGCGTGAAGCTTATGTGTGTACAATGTGATTTTAAGTCTATCAATAGTTTTACAGTTCATTCTTCATATACGCATGCGTGACAAATACTTTTGACTGAAGTCAACAATTTGCACTATTATTTAAGGAAGTAACATATGTATATAATTTTAATAACAATAACCCTTCAATGAATGTATGAAACAGCTTACAGTGGGTCGGAAACCCATCAAAGAAGAAGAGATTTTTTTTTTCTAAGACCAAAACATTTCGAGAGCCGCAGTATGCCCTAATGTGGTCTAACCTTAAAAAAAAAGTCCCCCGGTGGGACAGCGTAAGTCTTCGGATTTACAACGCTAAAATCAGGGGTTCGATTTCCCTCGGTGGACATAGCAGATAGCCCGAGAGCGCAGGTTGCCGGCTCTGGCTTACACCTTGTCGATAGCTTGACTAGAAAATTCTTATCTCCCAAAAAAGCGTTTAAACCGTTTTTGTTTTGTTTTTCATATCTTGTTCTTGGTCTTGGGCTGGGCGTGACATAAAGGTTAGCATGCTCGGACTTTGAATTCCAAGTATTCATAGTTCACGGACCACTTTGCACTTTGGCGTTGTGAGTACTCTGTAAAAGTGATAGTCAAATCACATTATTCGATCAGACAAAAGAAGTCCAAGAGTTGGCAGTAGGTGTTGTTAACTAGCTGTCTTCTGTCTGATCTATCAGTTTAAACTTATGGACGGATATATATCCCTTTGTGTAGTTTTGTACGAATATTCTAACGCCATCCAACACAACAAACTTTTTTCTTGTCAGACAAATTGTAGAAAATTAGGAATGTTTTAGCGCTAGAGCTAATATCCAAGGTATTTGTATACTTACATGTGTATGTGTAACTAAATTAGTAGAGCTTTTAAATCTCAAGTTGTTTTCAGAATTACAAAGGTGTTTATAATAGTATCTTCTTAGAGGTACCTGGTCCACCATCCAACTTATCTGTGACTAACGTCACAGGAAGAACTATTTCACTGGTCTGGACAGAACCCTACACAGGAAATAGCGACATCTCTCGGTACTTTATAAAATATCAGAAAGAGTTACCGGGTAAGATAGTATAGTCGTATATATTTCACTTTTGTATTAATCTTTTAACACTCGTTATTTACTAATTCAGTTAATTTGTTTTCTTTAACATAAGTCTAGTATACCTTGAAGTATGAATATATTTTCCATGTTACATGATATTTAAGTTATCTCTCCCTGGAAATACGATGTTGAAAGGCAACCTAAACATCTAGCTGTAGATTTCACGGAAGTATGGCACCAGAAGGAGTTGCAGTCTATCAAATGTTAACACAACAACTATAACTATTATAAGAAGCAACGTTACTTACTGTTTTCGTCAGCTAATAACTGATTGAATTATAAAAATGAATACGGTTTATTTTCTTGAAGAAGTTATTATTTATGACAATAATCATAAACTGATGATCATTCAGAATATTTCAAAATGAAAACACTAAAAACATGGTTATAAAATTAATAAAGACAAGAAAATTATTTAACAATCCAGAAATACAAATATGAATCGAATTTCAAAGCAACGTATTTATTTCCTTTATTTAATTTAATCAATAAGTAAATTACTTTTACGGAATAATTTATAATAAACATGTTAAAGTTGTCTAAATGTTACCATACTCATATCAGCTTGAAAATGCTGAAAGCTATTCGAAAGGGTGTTTCAGCAAGTTAAGTTCTGTAAAAATAACGTGTCACATTGGATAATGATACCCTGTATATATTGGATAATTATAAAGAAAATTCTATATTTGAAATAATTATATATATATATATTAAAACCCTTCTTATCTTAAGGGAACTAAGCCTTACCAGAAGCTTATTGAGGATCATAAGTTTTATCCAAGAAAGTTTGGACAAGTACAGAGTGTTTTAGAAACTGTCAAAAAAGTATTCAAAATGCTTTCTGTCATTCTTAGTTAGCATACCAAGCCTATCCCTTAATGAAATACTGCAGGCATCATCTGTTCTGGACAATGTTCATTGACCCTCGCAATCTCATTTCTAATGGCCGCTTTCATATCCTTTAAATTTTGTGGTCAATTTCTTTTAGGAGACAGCAAAACATCAATGAGTGCAATGTCAATGGATCTTAAGGTTTATTTTTCATTAATCAATGACTCATGATTTTGTCGTTAATGAAAGTGCATGTTACAAATCTTTTAATAGATAGATATGGAAAATTATTGTATCCTGTCGGAAGGCTTTGTTCTCGGTGTTTTGACCCTCTAGGTATGGATTATATAATGTGGTTTTCACCATTTTCTCTTAACGGACTCAGTTTACCGAAACAGTTTGGGTGCCGCCAGTTCCATCAACAGCTTCGAAGAAACAAGGATCAATGACAGTGTTGGTTAAGCCGCACCATACAATAATAAGGGTTATGAGAACAATTTTGGTGAATTAAACGTGGGTTTTCATAGCTGTAGATGACAGTATTTTTTGAGTTGACATATCTATTAAGATGAAAGTGATTTCGTTTCTCCAAAGGGTGTTTCATAGTTACGTTTCACCGATCATCGATCTGGACATAATCCAATGTGTAAAATAAAGTCGGAAAAATGGATCGCCATTCCTAATGGCATGCAGACGGCAGACGTGCAAACTGGTAAACTGTGCGTTTTTTTATCATCATTATTACTTCCCATTTTAGTTTATGGCAGTTCAAGTTACCGAGTAGTACCGTTTGCACTTGGCAACCCAGGAGTAAGCTTCTTAGCATTGTCTTAGATATTCTGAGAAACCTCCATTACTGCTTCCATGGCCACAGATGACTGTACAGAACGAAAGGCACTTTTTACATATGCAATTGCTTCAAGTCTGTGAATTAATTTATTTAACATCCTTAAGGCATTTTTCTCTTTGAGAATTGTATTTTGGCCAAAGCAAAACTGTCATTATTTTGAAAGCACAAACGAACAAAAGTCACTGAATCATGCATATGTACACATATTTTATTCAAATCGCAAATCTATTTTGCTGAGACAGAAAGAGAAAAATGAGAAATAAAGATAGTGCTAAGTTTCAAGAAAAACAATAAAAACATGCTGTATAATACGGTTTTCAAATATTCTATCCATACTATCCCGTATAATGGCCAGGTGGATAAGGCGCTCGACTCGCAATCTGAGGGTCGTGGGTTCGAATCCCCGTCCCACCAAACATGCTCGCCCTTTCAGCCGTGGGGGCGTTATAATGAGACGGTCAATCCCACTATTCGTTGGTAAAAGAGTAGCCCAAGAGTTGGCGGTGGGTGGTGATGACTAGCTGCCTTCCCTCTAGTCTTACACAGCTAAATTAGGGACGGCTAGCGCAGATAGCCCTCGTGTAGCTTTGCGCGAAATTCAAAAACAAAACAAACTATCCCGTATAAAATATCTCAATGCGCCTCTGGTGAAATTTAGTTCCCCTAAAACAAATCTACGATAAACGTTTTGACGGTGTCAATTACTTGAATTATTCTTCCTTCTTATCGCCTAGATCTCCATTACTTTTTCAATAAATATTACTTTTAGACATACTATGAAACTATTTGTCTGATTATAGATATAAAACAATTCCTTATTTGATCTAGAAATTCCAGCTGAATAAATTAACGCATGTCATCGACAGTGAGATCTAAATTATTTGTAATTTGATATGTAAAATAAATTTAATTCAGGCTGCTTAATTCCATTTTTGACTTTTTGTCATTTCTCGAGTGTTCAATGAAACCATTAATTAAATTTTCAAAATAATATCAACAACGCAAAAAATTCTTCAATAAATTCTGTGTTTGATTTATATTTCACCAAGAGCCTTCTACGCGCTCACTGGTCTTCTAAAAAAATATATTTCTTGAACATAACAACATACGTATAGAACCAGAATTCTGAAGTGGGCGCGGGTTTGAATGAACTTAAACACTAATTTTGTGTGTTAACTGTAGATTTGAAAATTATTTAGGGAATAAATACACTGCTTTATGGATAGAGTGGTGAATGGGTAGAAGAGTTGAAATAAAAATGTAAATTTTAATATATCACTTACTGCCTTTTCAGCCTGATAAAGATTTAAGAATGTTGCTAGGTCACCAACGGAGTATGATGATTAACCGAACAATTGAAGGGTCTCAGCGTACAGCTGTCCTCAGAGGTCTGGAACCAGCCAGTTCTTACCTAGTGAGTATTGATGCCCAGAATGCAGTTGGCAGAGGAAGTGAGAGTGACTGGATAAGAGTCAAAACCGAGCAGGAAGGTAAGAGAATATATTTGTAAAACAAAAAACTGGATATTATTTATAAGTTTCTGAGCTAAGATATAATTACCTTTTTATCGTAATTGGTGAGTCTCTCACTCATTAGAAATCAAACTTTAACGTTAGTATTATACTGGTTAACTGATAGTTGTACATCCTGTAATATTAATTCAACTTACGTTGAATTTAGGATTTTTTTAAGTAACAAAATACAGTACTTCTTTCGTATACAATATTTGTAGTTCAGTCCATAAGATCAAAGTGAGCCACTTTATGATTCGGGGTGGTCTAATAGTTAGTTACCCTCACACTTCAATCTCTACTGTATGAATATCATATGATTTGTAACATCAGACCTCGTGGATCCTTTGTCATTCTGTGCGGCTGTTTACAAATGCTCGCACATTAATCTGAAACAAATGAAAATTAAAAATTAATTAGTATACCGTGTTGTAGCAACTAGCTTCAGAAGGCTTGGCATGGTTTGGTGGTTAGGGCATTCGACTCGCAATCTGTAGGTCTCGGGTTTGTATCCCATCACCAAACATGTTCGCCCTTTCAGCCGTGGGGACGTTATGATATGATGTGAACAATCCCACTATTCTTTAGCAAAAGCATAATCCAAGAGTTGGCGGTGGGCAGCGTTGACTAGCTACTTCCGCTTTAAAGTATCACTTCAAAACTAGGGGCGGCTAGCGCAGATAACCCTCGAGTAGCTCTGTGCGAAATTCAGCGAAAAACAAATCAACTTTTGGACCACCCTGTATAAGTAAGTTTTGTGAAAACTTAATTTAGTGCTCTAGACATTGTATTTGTACATTAAATAAGAGAAAGTATGTTTTCAAATTTCTTTTATATATCGTATTTGCAATATAAAACCAAAGCAACATTGACCAATACCCGTAATAAATATTAATGCGAAATATTTTGCAAAAATATTTTAAGATATTAAAAACTAAGATAATTCACGTAATTGAATGCACATCATAAAATCAAGCTAAGTACCTGAAGAACAGTGTAAAAAATGCGTAGTTTTATTTTACACCTATTAATTTGTTTAGACTTTTTATGTTTCTTTTTCCAGAAAACTGCTCAATTTCTTTGTTCTTTTATAATGTTACATCTCGTTTAGAAAAATATCAACTTGATTCTTTCAATTTTCTGATCTTGTAACTTAAGGGTTGAGGAAAATAAAAATACGGTGTGTTATTTTACTAAAGCACATTCGCTAACATAGTTTTTGTCTTACATTATATTGCACTAAGATTTCCTTCATTATACATTTAGCTCCAAGTGGTCCGCCGGAAGAAATTGCAGCTCAAGCAACGGGTCCCAATTCAATTAAAGTGACTTGGAAGGTAAAAATAGATACCATTATAACATTCATGCAGTACTTTACATCAAAGTAAGCTTACATGTATACACTTAATAACAATGATATAGGCGCTTAATATATAGGGCTGAAGGGTTACGTACCTTCCCCCTTCACTTTTTCCACTTAATAATAATGAGGATGCATATTTTAAGAGGATTTAATTTCCGGTGCTTAAACATGTGTTGCAGTTTATTTGTCAAGTGTATCCATAACTATTTTCTCTCACCATTAATATACAATTATTATTTGATTATATATACCAAACTGGTCAATATTTTAGAAAAACGTGACCCTATTTCAATTAACCTAAGTGATTGAACATTTACTACTGTACAAACTTCTATCATTCATTATAATGACTTAACTTTGCCTTGCTGAACATAACATAGTCTGGTAAACAAAGGCATATAGTTTATTTTTTCCTTTCAGAGGTTTATTTTTGTTTATTCTTTACATTTTTTTTAAATTCTACTAAAACACATTATTAGTTTGTGTAGAGAAACGCATCACACGATCCTTTTGTCCAGTGGTGTAGCCCTAGATATAAAAGGTTTATTTGTCGCTAAGTGACAAAGCTACAAATGGGCTATCTGTGCTCTGTCCTCAGCAGGTATCGAAACCCGATTTTAGCATTATATACCTTCAGACTTACCGCTTAGCCACTAGGGTAGATGTAAAAGGATCTGGACAATAAAATTTTTCAAAATGGAAGATCTGGAACGATTTTTCAACAAGCACACTCTTAGTTAAACAGTTTTAGATGAAACAAACAAAAGGATAATTTCTCTATTCAGTTTTTCTTTGTGTTTAATTTTTTTACGTAAAGTCTATTAATTATAATATTTTCTTTTAAGCTAATTAATAATTTATAATAAAAATCATAATACTAGGGCGCGCCCAAAATCTTTTAATAAAGTTCCTAGGCGGTTCCCAGGACCGCCCTAACTCGATTACATCATTGTTTTTCATTATTTTTTATAGTTTAATAGTGTTAAACGTATAGCTTTACAGTAAACTATACCTCTTATCTTTAGGCTCCCCCCAGTGGCACAGCAGTATGTCTGCATGCTTACAACGCTAGAAACCGGGTTTCGATACCCGTGGCGGGCAGAGCAGAGATAGCCCTTGTGCAGCTTTGTGCATAATTAAAAAAAAACTTATTCTTAGAGGGGTTTTAATATATATATATTAAATACTGTCAGTGCCACTTCGTACTACTTTAAAGTATGGTACGTTTTCGTGTTGCCCTACTTTTCATTCTTTTTGGAAGTTTCACATTTGATGTTTTTTATACTTTTATGTTAATATTCACCTACAAATTTTCACAGAATACTGCTAGAATGATTTTATTGAACGTAACGTACATCGCTATTAGACCTACCTTAATTACTATATTACGTTATTAGTAACAAGTGGATTGAGGTATCTACATTTGTTTGACACCAACAAACATTTCTCAATAAGTTTATTAGAGGCGAGATTTTCCAGTGGTAACAATTTTCCTTACTCCTTACATTAGTTAGATATATGATAAGTTACCATATATTTTATAGTTTTTAATTTTTAGATGTTAGTTACTTTTTAAAAATCAGATTGGCATCACTGTGAATACACAGCATGTTTTTTTTTTCATTGCTAAATCATCAGTTAATAGTTATTTTACAATATATACATATAGAAATTGGTTAAAAAATTATCTTATATATGAACCTCATAATGTAATGAACAAGTTACAAACATTTCCGAAAAGTATAAGTTTTCTATATAAAAAAATATAGTTACGTTGAGAACATGCGTTATGGCTAGATTTTTTTCTTGTCGATTAAGGAAATTAATAGAGACTAATTTGAATTATGAAAAATAACTGCTAACGAACACTAAAATTACGAGCACCTAGTTAAAAAAAAAAACATCTACGGTAGTATGAGTACAGTGTCGAGTCTTGTTATCTATAGCGTAATGAGTAATAATTATCAACTTTAATATTTTTGTGGCAACAAACATTTCACTCTTCTATAAAAGGAGATTATCTTTTATATGTCATCTTCAGTTGTAAAGAGCTACAAAAGAAGTACTGTGATAAGCAATATACTTCAATATAGCATTTTTACTGGACTGTTCTATACTTTTTTATGCAATTTCTGGATACATAACAACCTCATAGCTGATATGTATACATAGATATACATATTACATGTAGAGATTTATTTTGATACTATATCTTAAGCTCACCTAACTGTCCAAAGACGTCAACTCGGATCAGAGTTTGTAATTAGGTTTTACTAATACTATATATCATGTTTCACCTTCTTTTAATACCCTCTAGCCTCCCCAAGAAGATTACTGGAACGGGAAGATTATCGGCTATTACATCGGCTACAAACCCATTGATGAAACGTTACACATGTACAAAACAGTTCATGTGAAAGACGTGACGGCACGAGAGCAGTACCACCTGACTAATCTTAAGAGATCAACAATCTACCACATCACAATCCACGCTTTCAACAGCAAGGGGCCTGGTCCCAGATCTGACGAAGTGCAAGTAAAGACATTGGATGATGGTAATATTGTAGGAAATTATTCATATAGCTAACAAAATTATGTAGACTTCGGTTTGTTTCGTTTTCGAAAGTGAAGTTGATTCAATATATATATTATATATAATGGTTTTATCTGATAAAGCATTAAATTACGTTAAAGTTTTCTATTATTCACCTAAAACACAGAACAGTTTATTATCCGATTGGTGATAAAGCCGAGAGAATGTAGCATGCAGATTTTTAACATATTCACAGTGAGACTATGTTGACTGGCAGCGAATAGCAGTAAAAACACTAATTACTTCATCAGTAAATTACCCAAATATTGATTCTCAACACATATTCATGGCCAGTCTCCTTCAGTTGGCGATATAATAGCTTTATAAATAGTTAACCAAAATAATATTTATTTTCCTATTGAAGAATTCAACACGTTTACAGTAAATTTGTTGATATTCATGCTAAGTAAACACCATGAAGTTCATCAGCTAATTACTATCTTGTTATCGTTTGGAAATGAGGTATTCAAGCTTAGTCTTTTTCGATTGACAATAAACGTGATTAAACTGAGCGAGCCAATCTTTTATTATTATATATCTAGCTGGAGTACCCTTCCCCTGGACAGAAGTTATGTAAATTGATGATTAATGAAAATTTATCTTAAGACATGAAAAGTTGCTTCCTCTAAATGTAATTATAAGAAACGCCCATAAAAACTGCAAGACACAAAATGTGAAACCGCAAGTTTGCATGTATCTCCGCATGGACCCAACAAACCTTCATGCCAAATTTGGTGAATATATGTCAACAGGGGTCGAAGTAGTGATAAAAAATGCATAAACGCCCATAAAAACCGCAAAATGCAAAACTGAAAATTTTTATGTATCTCCCCATGGACCCAATGAACCTCCACACCAAATTTGGGGAAGATCCATCAGCACCCTGCGCATTAGATACATTGACATACAACAGACAGTACCATTATATTTATATAGATATACGTATAAGCCTATTATTGCTTTATGCATTGAATCATCAGTGCGTATATTTTTTAATTTATTCTGACCAGTGTTTAATATTTCTTTCCTTCATTTACAATAATATTTTAGTTCCTCCCAGTGCTCCTGATCTGAAAATGTTATCCAAATCAACATCTTCGATTACTTTAAAATGGTCTCAACGAGCAACATTTGGTGCAAGTGTAGTAGGTAAGGCGTTACAGTATGTATTGTATTTAATTAGTTTCCCTTTACTACATAATCTAATAATCAGAAGCAGACTCGAAACTGATGTTACATAATAGATATTTTAAGAATTTATTTGCCTGTAAGATACCATTTAACTAACGGGAATTTATATTTACAGAGACAAGTACAACAACACAAGTTCTATAATTGTGTAAGATGTATAACAATACATGTTCTATAAATATAGAATTTTTTTAAAGTTGTTTATACCTAATCCGTAACAAATTTATTTTTGAATACATTTTTAACTTGAATAACATTTTGTAAACATTCTTACTGTATCAAATCCATCAGCTTGATACTTTTTTACAAAATCATATTCCCTACCCATTTTTAACATATTCCAAAGATACAAGTGTGCTCTGGATTGCTTGTAGCCAACTTTTTTTGGGGTTACCAGCTGTTTTTAAGAAACAGTATTTTCAATTACTTTGTAACGAAGTTTTGTCTGAGAAAATTACTTCAATGGCTTCCACCGTAAGAGTGATGGACTTATGTCACGACTCTTTCTCTCTCTTGATTCTTCTAACGGAGAACAACTCTTACTCGTCACTCATAAAATGTGTTTATTCTTAAGTCGTGATTTTCAGCGAGTTATCTAAACCGCTTAGTAAGTTAACGTTCTGTGGATGAAAAATGGGCCTGAAGTTTAGAAGTTCTCTATATAATCTGTAAAGCTTATTCTGTAAATTCCTTGCCAGGCAATCCCTTCGGCTTACTATTTATAAAAAAAACTGAAGTTACCAGGCAGCTGTAATCAACTGTAAGTTCACCGTACAACTAAAACAGCCATGACACAAATAAGAAGAAGAAAACTCAGTCAACTCCAAGTAACACTTTTTACCCCATAGAACTACAGTAAAACAAGTCGAGCCAGAAAAAGATCGTGTACCAAAAGAATTACACTGTAAGAACTCTCAAGATTTTTTTCGGGATATCCCAACTAAATTTAGATCAAACAGAAAAATAGAAAATGTATTTTCTTTCATATCAATACGACACAAAAACACACCAAACTAATGTAAGACAAAATATAATTTAATGTTGTTTCTTACAAATAGAAAATGCATTTTCTTTCATATCAATACGACACAAACACACAACAAACTAATGTAAGACAAAGTGTCATTTAATGTTGCTTCTTCCAAATAGAAAATGTTATTAGCTTTTTATTTTCAAATATACCTTAAAGTTTACGCCTATTTCTAGTGTGTTGCTAAAATCCACTTAACTTTCTTTTTGAATTGATTTATTGTACATTAATAAATAATACATACTTTTCAACAAGCAATCAAAGTTTGGAGAATAGATAAGAAGAAATATTGTAGAAACGTAAATTGATTTGCATAACAGCTTTAAGAATGATTTTCGTAAAAACTGACTTTGTATAGTGGAGCTAAATAAAACATTTAAAAAGTAAGAGAAAATATATTATATGTACTTTAGTATAATATAGCCTCTGGAACATAACTAAAACAAAACATTTTGTTCATGAAAATGGTCCGAACGTTTCAGGTACCATAATTTTGTTGAGAGCATTTATATCTGCTTAGAAGTTAAGATCCGTAAATGGAAAAAAATAACATATGGTTTTTTTATAGTATCATAATTATTCAAACTAATGAACGCTGTAAATGTAATCCTTTACTGCTAAGGAGACATATTTGGCATGTGAAATTTAAAGGCATTACTAAAATTTGTACGAACAGATTTTCTGTATAGGTCTTAGTAAGTTATAAAATATTTCAACATAAGACATTTCGTGTCAGTTTAAAACATACTGATTACCTTATTTGTTGATTTGTTTTGGTATTAAAATGTTCAAACGATCAACATTGTTTGATTAACAATTATCTAAAAACCGAACAACGGCCGTAGAAGACACTACACTTTTCGACGTAGAGTGTCTTTTACGCCCGTTGATCGATTTTTAAATAAATATTAAATTGTGTTATACGACGTTGATTGTTTGAGTATTTTAATATTTTAAATGTTTACACAAGTTCCTTGAATTTGAACCAATTATTTATTTTGCATCGATTTATTCTGGCGAGTATGAGTATACTTTCATTGTAGTAAATATGATATATCTTTTTTTTTAGACTACAAACTTCATTACCGGGAGGAAAACGATCACGTGGGGTGGACAGTAATTCCCATATCAACCAACCAAAACCAGTATACAGTGCAGAACCTGAAATGTGGTACAACTTATCAGTTTTTTATGACGTCACACAATAGTGTTGGTAGGAGCGAACCAAGTAATAAACTTATCATCAGAACTACAGGAGCGGGTAAATTATTATTTTTCTACGTAATTATAAGTAACGAATGTACCTTTACCTATATTTTAAAGTATACAAAAGGTTACAGTTTAGTAAAAACAATATGATCATGTTCTACGAGAAGTTGTTTTCTCGCGAAACTTATTAATAAAGACACTTATTATTTATTTCAGCAAGATTTGTGGTACGACTTTACAATCGTTTTTTTGCATTTTAACTGTAGTGTTACAAAATGTTTTTTTAAACTTGATCAACCACACATAGAAAAACTGTTAAAATAAACTTTAGCAATGTTAGCTGATTTCAGTGAAAACGGATTTGGTGTTAAAAGTAACAACACTTTATAGGATCGTAAGTATTTTTTGGTAAATGAGATACTATTTATTTTTTTTTAAATCCCATACACACACATCAATGGTATGTTTGTTTGTAATTATGCACAAAGCTACACAAGGGCTATCTGTGCTCTGCCCACCACGGGTATCGAAACCCGGTTTCTAGCGTTGTAAGTCCGCAGACATACCGCTGTGCTACTGGGGGGCTCAATGGTATGTTAATTTTTTTTTTCCATTTAAATTGTAAAAACGACATCTCGGCATCTCCTTACCTGAGATGGTAGTTTAAAACAGCTTTTCAAACAATGAGACCAAAAATAAACACTGTCGCAAACAACAACAAAAAAATATATAACGGAAAAATAAAAATAGAGTACAAATTTCCATGTGATACGTGTGTTAGAGACGTATCCGTAAAGTAGAAATCACACATCGAGAAAGTACAAATTCCAATGTGATACGTGTGTTAGAGACGTATCCGTAAAGCAGAAATCACACATCGATATGGATACACCGTTTATCAAGGTTAACCTTTATTCGAAATAAAATAAAAATTAAGACCAACGTTCCACATCTAAAACCACCATTCACTGTCTGTAGTCTGTTTTAGGAAAATAGTCAGAACTTGTTGTTGTTTGTAATGAAACACAAAGCTACACAATAGGCTATCTGTGCTCTGCCCACCACGGGTATCGAAACCCGGTTTCTTGCGATGTAAGTCCGCAGACATGCCGCTGTGCCATTTAGGGGCCGTAACTTATCTCCTGAAATGAACATTCCAGTTTTAATAATGGTCACATGACTACATGAGCAGTAAAATAAATTCAAATCAGAAATTATTACTACTAGATCAATGAAGAAAGGAATTTTTCCTAAAAATTCTAAAAAGAAAAAGTAGCATTTAGGAATAGTGGCGTTTCTAGGAGTTTGTTTTATTGTGGGGAGGGAGACAAGGAGTTAGTTTGTGAGGGCAGGAAAAATCAACTTTTTTCAGATCAATGAGAGTCACAGTTTAGAGAGATATAATTTAAAATCTTAAACACATAAATCCTAGTATCTCAGATGTGGGTGCTGCTTGGGGATGGGGGGGGGGTAGTCTGACCTTGCTTGACACGCTCCTACTCAGGATATATGAATATCATAAATTATTCCCATTTGTTTATGTGTTGTTGTTTTCTTTAGCTCCTGTGTCACCAGCTCGTGAAGATTTTATTAGCATCAACGTAACTGAAGCTATTTTGGACTTCTCTAAGTGGCAAGATGGTGGCTGCTTTATCACCTCTTATACAGTCAAATTGAGACAAAAGTTCCACACTCGTTGGAAGACTCTTGTGGACAACCTTATATTTAATAAATCACCTTTTCAAGTCACGGCTTTGTCATCGGCTACTTGGTATGAAGTCTTAGTTGTTGTACAAAGTTCTGCAGGTGCTACCGAAGCGATGTACGATTTTAGAACACGAAATAAAACACGAGGTAAAACAATTCTAAACTATATTTTTTATTACTATATTTAAAATTCACAAGGACCCAGGCATTACAGTTTTTAATATCATACTTACAAGGTAGTAATTTCCTATTTTTTATCAAATAACAATAGCTATATTGTAATTGTAATCTAATGGAAAAAAGTGCCTTCAGTTAACACAAATACAAAGCTCACAAAGGCATCTGTTTAAATTCTTCTTAGATTACTTTATATTCAACAAAAAAGAAACTTAATATAGGAAAATACTATTTTTATTTTTGTTTCTATTATTGTTGGTAATACATGAAAAATCGATATATAATTAATATAATACAGTAAAAGAAAGAGTATAAAGATTATGTAAACGTTGAGTTATTTGAAATTTTTGTTGAGGTGCTAAGTTTTCTTAAGTTGGAAATTTTGCAGAAGTTATACCTAGTTTTTTAACTTTATCGTTTTGGTTGTTGGTTTTGTTTTTTGTCCGTTAATCATATTAACAAATTCTTTTACACTTATTTTTGAATGTGTGAAGCATTAAAGCACAAAGTGTCTGCACTCTGCAAGTTTAACATACACAGCTAGAAGCGAAAAAGTAACTCAAATGTTCAAAACTCCTGTCTCTGAAACACAAATATGAGTTTAACACAATTTCCGGACACCCTTTATATTCGGTTTTTGATTTCAGTATTTGATTTCTTTTCACTTACATCTAACCGAAAAGCATTTTAAGCAATACTCAAAATAAATATTTGTTTATTTTTTAATAGTGTGCCAAAAAATAATTAAATGAAGTGAGAAACTTCAGTGCTGCTTAATTTATGTTTTTCAAAATTTCTATTTATTTTAATTTATTTCTTCTTTTTTTTAAGAAATTGTGCCACAGGAAACTGCTAACGTACCAAAGCCTCCTACCAAATCTTTCATCATTGATTTGGAAGTACTTGTACCCATCACTGTTTCCAGCTTTGTTGTTGTGGTGGTGATCGTCGTTGGCTGTGTACTTTGTATCCGAGAAGCTCGATCTCATCGTCGCATAAATGGTGAGACAACTAAATATAATAATTTTTATTTCTGCTCACAGAATATCTAAAAAAAATCACTAAAACAAATGTTTAATTAGAAGATCATGCTGTGCTTTTAAAGAATCATGTTGCACTTTTGTTTTGTCAAGTGGATACGACATGTCTGATATCTACAACTGATTTGATTAGATGGCGCAAAACAACTAGGCTATCTGCGCCATCTACAACGAAATGCCAAGTTTTTCAAAAACAAAACCTGAATTACAATATTACATCTAGGATATATTTTTAATGTGAGTCCAAGACAATTAAAACCGTTTTGACAACTCCTATTTATCTTGTAATTGAATTGTCTAATAATCTAAATTCACAGTGTTGTAACTTTGTTCTTTCGTTGGCTGGTTCTTTTAAATTACCCTGTGAAAATCATTCAAAGACCAGTTTACGTAACAATAACAAATTATTTTTTTTTAACGTTTTTGCATTCTCAAATACTGCGGTAACTTGTAAGTTGTAGGCCACATTTAGAACAACGCTAACTGTACTGCATTAAAGTAAGAATAAACTTGTACATTTCACGGCTGATCGATCAAGTAACTGAAATCAAAACACTAGCTTAAATAAAAACACTCTCTGATTGATTCACTCTATTGACTAGAAACAACTCTATCTTTTATCTTGATGCTTCTCTGAACCCGTATTTATAATTTATGAGAAAACCTTCTGTGAACATTTTTAGAACTTTTTAGGCCTATATTATTAAACTTTTCGATCTTAAAGCATGCGCTAACATCTAAATTACAAAATTGAAAATATAGCTTATAATCATAGGTTGAAATAATAAATATCATGATATTATAAAAACTTTCTAATACACATTTATCATCTGTAACATTCTTAGCTTATTTTATCTTTGCAGTGCAACACTTACAAAAGCTCAGAATTATTCTACATATTGCTTGTTTTTTGTTTGTTTTTTTGAATTTCTCGCAAAG